TAGGGGGTGGGTTTTAGAGCAGTGACTGCTCTGGCCTGGCAATGATGGGTCAGAGCCAACCTGAGATCTGGGAGCAGGGCTCAAGAAGCAGCAGCTCAACCCTAGTAACGGTGATCAAAGCATAAATTGGGACTCAAGGCAGTGGGGCACTGAGCAGTGGCAGTTTCAGTTCATCCTGATCCTGGCGAGTGGGACACACCAGTAACTGGGGCCCCTGGGGATAGGTCTCACCACAGTGACAACTCCAGCCCTAGGAAGGAGATGAAGCAATGGGGACTCCGGGCAGCTCCCTCATCTGGGATCAGCGTTGGTGAAGATGTGGCAGTCCTTGGTAACAAAGGCTGAAAACATCCACAGTGGTGAGGCTTGCTGGGGTTTTCCCACTCTCCTTTTCCCTGTGGGTGAAATACTTCTGAGGGGATCTCTGCTGGTGCCAAGCTTTTCTGGACTGGAGGGTGGGATGATGCAGTTAAAATACTTCCTGTGCTTTTCTGTGCAGCCACCTTGGGTTTTGAGCTCTTCAGGGTTTCTGCTGTTTTTTCCTTGGAGTCCAGAGCTTTCCCAGGGATATTTTTGTCAGTTTGTAGTTATTTATTTGTTGTTTTTGTGGTACCGAATGTGTTGGGACCTCCTAGTCCTCCATTTTGCCGATATCACCACCTCATTTTGATTCTTAAATCACCTATATATGTGTCTCAATGGTAGCAACCTTCTAGCACACTATCTTCCAATTCTAGACTCGCCAGTGTTAAAATGTTCATGGTTCAAAAGTAGTATAGAGAGTAATTAGCATCTTCCATAATTATAATCTCTAGATTACCATCTTTAATCTTAATGCAAGAGTTTTTCAAACTATGAAAGAAAAATTGTTCCAAGGATAATTTATCAAGGAATATAATGCTAAAATATATCATCCCTGCTTCCTGCACCATTAAGCAAATATCTAAGATTTATTATTTTGAAAAGCATTAAGGATTTCTCATCTCTCTGCTTTGTTGTTTTTATGGTATTTAAACTATATCTGTTTTCTGATATGATTTTTAAAAAGCAGATAATAAGAGCGTAGGGGAGAAACCCAAGATGCCTTCTTATGTGAATTGCGACCATATTGACTTAGACAACATGAAATTTTCTTGAATGTTAAAAAACAGTCTCAGACTTTAGTGTAATCCAAAGAAACAGCATCTTCACTAAAGTTATCACCATTTTAGTTTTTCAAGGTCAAGGACTAGAGAAAAATGGGTTTAAAGATAGGTATTTCATTAATCAAGGGGAAGTAGACTAGGAGACACAAATTTTGACTAAGAGAAATATGGAGAAACTGGATTGAGTTGAGTCTCTACCAATCAGAAGAAAATGAATAAAAGGAGTGAATAAATGAAGTGAGGAACTGAAACAAATCAGTGCACGTTCTTGCCAAAGAACAAAGAGTTTTTATTGTAAGACATTGAAGATATCTCAAAGCACTGACAATGTTTTCTTGTTTGTTATTTTACCTGTCATGTTTCTTTGTAGTTACTAGTACCAGGGAAAACTTCAGAAACTCTCGAAAGACCCATGAGTTTTCTTTAGGAATAATAAAACACAAGGAAGCATGCAGCCAGTGAGTCAACACATTTTTATTGAGCAGTTACTATTTTCCTCAAGCTAGGGAAAGAGTAGGGCCTCTAGCAGTCTCCGCTCTAAACTGTATCTCTTACATTTTAATGGGATGGATGGACATTGAAAAGATATATAAACCTATAAATAAATAAACAAATACAAGCAAGCTCTGAGTTAGCAAAGTTTCCTTTCTTGAGGTTGAGCAGAGAAGTGTGAGTATATTTAGGAGGATTGGAGAGGAGTTGTCATTAAATGGTTAGAATCATGATGGCAGATTTTAATCTTAAAACACATGAGAGAAAATGAATGTGGAAGAACAAGAGTAAGCTGATGTGTGAGAGGATTATGTTCTGGTGCTTCATAAGAACATGAAGCTCTCCAGCTTGACAAAGACATAAGGAAGTGTAAGGGAACTAATCCCCCTTCCTCTTTCTCAGTGACTCGTCAAAACTCTGCATAATGGAAAATTGACAAGGGTTTTTTATGACCTGATTGTGAAATGCAATTCTCTTGAAAGATATCACTTTGCCATAAGAAATCAGACTTCCTGCTCTAGTGTGCACATCCCTATTCAGTTAGACCTCCATTCAGAGTTCCAAATGAGCGGGTCCTGCTGTTTTACTTAGAGATCTTAAATAGGCGTTTCAAACTTAACATGTTGAAATGAGGCCCTAGATTTTACCAAAAAAAGGCTCTTCTAGTGCTCCTCATTTCATTAAATGGCTTCAACATATACCTAGTTCCTCAAACTATAAATTTAAGAGTCATTCTCGACAATTTTCCTCTCTTTACCCCCTGTCTTGTGCCAGTCTCAGTTTATCAATAGCGATATTATTGGCTAGAAATGCCTGGGAGCACTCACCTGGGCCTGTGGCAAGCTCCCACAAACATCTCCCTTTTTGGAACCAATGTTGTGGCTGAATTGGCCCTTGTGGTTCTTATTATGATTGCAAGATGTTGTCAGCGATAACCTCCTTCCCTCTTCCCTCCATCCTTCCTGTATTGTTTCCAACTTAAGATGAATATTTTACTTCTTTTTTAATCCTTTGGGTTTCTTGATAAATATGTTAAAGCAAATTGTCCAAGGAAAATCTAGTTAAGAGTCAAAGCTGTCCAGTTAGTGGCTGTCTGCCTTCAGATCTGTCACTGACTAGTTACCCTGAGGAACTCAAGGTGGATTTGGATGTTTTAACTTTTTCCAAATTGTTCTTTTTCCTTTTGTTATGTTAAGGAGATGCAATCACCAACCACCCCTAACCAGATCAAGCCTTACCACGAGAGCTATGCCTATTGACCTTTTCTTTATTTTTAATGCTAAGATCTCACCAGGAGGAGCTTAGGCCTTATTACCATCCCTTGCAGTGTATGTGGAAGCCTGTTTTCCAACTGAGCCTGAACAAGCGAACACCCGCCTCTCCCTTTTGAATATTCATCCCCCATCCAAAATAAATGTCCCTGCTTCCCTTTCTTTGGGGACACCATGACTCTGGAAATGATTCCTCATGGTCTCCTATTTGCTGCAAATATACTTTGCTTTGTGAGAAAACTACTTCTGGTGTAGAGTGTGATTTAACTCACCAGGAGGGAACGCACTTTGGTTTCGGTAACAGATTGTTTTCTTAATCATTATGTTATAAATTTATCTTGAAGAGTACTTTAAGTACTTTATTAATTTACCTTTAAGTATATTTTAGCTTTCTCTCATAAATTTTGAGTTGTATTGTAATTTAGCTTTTTAATTTTAAAAATTGAAAACAATAATTGTGGTAAGATACATTTAACATAATATTTACTCACCTTAACCATTTTTAAGTGTACTGTTCAGTGGTATTAGATACATTCACGTTGTTGGGCAACCACTGCCACCATCAACCTCCAGAACTCTTTTCATCTTGCAAAATTGAAAGTCAGTACTCATTAAAGAGTAGCTCCCCATTTCTCCCATCCCCTAAACTCTGGCAACCACCATTCTACTTTTTGTCTCTGTGAATTTCATTACTCTGGGTACGTCATATAACTGGAATCATATAGTATTTGTCTTTTTGTGATTGGCTGATTTCACTCATCATAATGTCCTCAAGGTTCATCTATGTTGTAGCATGGGTCAGAATCTTCTTCCTTTTTAAGGATGAATAATATTCCACTGTATGTATATGCCACAATTTGTTTATCCATTCATCAATTGATGGACTCTTGGGTTGCTTCTACCTTTTGTTTATTGTGAATAATGCTGCTATCAACATGGATATACAAACATCTCTTAGAGACCCTGCTTTCAATTCTTTGGGGTATATACCCAAAAGTTGAATTGCTGCATTATATGGTAATTATATTTTTAATGTTTTGAAGAACTGCCATAGTATTTTCCATAGCAGCTGCACTATTTTACATTCCCACCTATAGTGCACAAAGGTTCCAATTTTTCCATATCTTTGTCAATACTTGGTATTTCCTGTTTTTTTGATGGCAGCTATCCTAATGGGTGTGAAGTCATATCTCTGATTGTGCTTTTGATTTGGATTTTCCTAATAATTAGTGATGTTGAGCATCTTTTCATGTGCTTGTTGGCCATTTGTATATCTTTCTTGGGAGAAATGTCTATTCAAGTCTGTTGCTCATTCTTCAGTAGGGTTGTTTGTTCTTTGTTGTTGAGTTTTAGGAGTTCTTTATATACTCTAGATGTTAACCCTTTATCAGATATATGATTTGTAAATATTTTCTCCCATTACATGGGTTGCCTTTTCATTCTATTGATTATGTTCTTGATATGCAGAAGTTTTGAATTTATCTATTTTTCCTTTTGTTGCCTGTGTTTTCAGTGTCACATCTAAGAAATCATTGCCAAATCCAAGGTCATGAAGCTTTTCCTATTTTCTTCTAAGAGTTTCATGGTTTTAGCTCTTATGTTTAGCTAAGTCTTTGATACATTTTTAGGAATTTTTGTGTATGGGGTAAAGAAAGGGTCCAACCTCCTTCTTTTCCATGTGACTATCCAGTTTTCCAACACCATCTGTTGAAAATTACCCTTTCTCCATTGAATGGTCTTGGCATCATTGTTGGGAATCTTCTGAGTATATACACAAGGATTTATTGCTGGGCTCTTTGGAAGGTAGTTTAGAAGTCTCTTATGAAGCTAAACATAATCTAGTAATTTAAACATAATGTAGTAATTTTACTAAACATAATCAAATGAGTTGAAAGCTTATGTGTACACAAAAAGCTGCACACAAATACTGATAGCAGCTTTGTCCATAATCAACAAAATCTGAAAGCAGTCAAGACGTCCTTAAATATACAGATGGATAAATAAACTGTAGTACATCCAGACAATGGAATATTATTCAGAGCTAAAAAGAAATGAGCTATCAAGCCATGAAAAGACATGGAGGAAACTTAAAGTCACATGACTGAGTGAAAGAAGCCAATCTGAAAAGGCTAAATACTATATGATTTCAATTATACGACATTCTGCAAAAAGCAAAAGTATGAGGAGAGTAAAAAGATCAGTTGCCATGAGTTCAGAGAGCAGGAAATGATGAATGAATGAATCACAGGGGATTTTTAGGGCAATGAAACTATTCTGTGTGATAACGGTGGATACATATGTTTGTCGAAACCCTTAGAATGTATAACACAAAGAGTGAACCCTGATATAAACTATGGACGTTGGTTGATAATAACATAACAATGTTGGTTTATTAATTTTAACAAACGTACCACGCTGGTGTGGGATGTTCCTGGTGGTGGGGGAGCTGTGTGTGTATCTGGGGAGGGAGTTTGTGAGAACTCCATATTTTCACTCATTTAGCTGTGAAACAAAAACTTCTTTAAAAAGTAAAGTTTATTAAATTATAAAAAAGAATTATAGGAGAAAAAAAGAGGATTTGCTGTGTGTGAATAAGAATATACTTAATGGTTTGAGCTTATTTCTTGTATTTTTTAGATATTTAATATCTGTGCTTATTTTTAGTGTGCTAGATTAACCAGTTTAGAAGGATGTGTTAATATCTCCAACTACAAATGTTGATTTATCTATTTCTCCCTCTACTTTTGTCAGTTGTTTATTTATATATTTTGAGTCTCTCTCTCTCTCCTATTATGATTAAATCTTCTTCTTCTTGGTTCCTTTTATCAATATGTGTCATCCTTCTTCATCACTTTCATTATTTTACCTTGAATTCTATTTTATTAGAGCTTCAAACTGATACTCAAGCTTTCCTTTAGTTCATATTGCCTGAATCTTTATCTTTCTTTTATCTTTTTTCTTTCTTTCATTTTTTCAACATTTTTGGGTTTTTCTGCTACTTGTTTTAAGTATGCTTCTTGTATACGTTCTTTGATTCTACTTGAGAGTTTCTGTCTTTTAAATAGTGAGTTCAACCTATTGCTATTTATTGTGATTATTTTATATTAAGTTATCAATGCCATCTTATTTCATGTTTTCAATGTACTGTTCTGCAATTTTGTTTCTTTTTAAAATTTACTTCCTACTTTTCATTGAATAAATCAAAAAAATATTTTCTGATTTTAAAAAGTTACATTCTATTTTTGTTCTCTGGTGGATACTCAACCTCAGATTCATACTCATGCTTATTGCCCTTATCAATTTCTTAGACTTATTGTATTGGGACAGACTGTATTATGCTGTGAAAAACAATTACACCAAAACAAAACAAAGATAGTTCTTTCTCATGCTGCATGTCAATTCTAAGTTGGCTAGGCTCTGTATTACCTTTCTCCTCACTTGGGAGCCAGGACACATGAAACAGCCACTATATGGAACAAGGTGATGATTGTGGGGAGGGAGAGCTCTGGAGGGTCTCTCATCGGTATTAAATGCTTTGACCTGAAAGTGACACATCATAATGCCAGAATGAGCCACAAGTCTCCACTTAATCCCAGTGACTGAGAAGTACAATCCTCCCATATAGTCAGAAGACAGTAAAACTGGAATATTTGGTAAACGTAATAACTAATACACTCATCCATATCTTTATATGTCTCCTAAAAAGACAAGCATGTGAGCACATTCTTAGGTCCTTTTCCTTTGTCCTTTCGTTCTTCCCTCTGCTCCATGTTGCTATTGTCTATAATTAAGCTTTTAGATTGTTATGAATATACATTCCTTTTAAAATTTCTTTGGCCTTAGGTTTTTTAGACAACAATAAACTTTACTAAATGTGTTAGGTCACTTTGTAAAATAATAAACTTTATTGAAATATTTGATTCTCCCTTATTTCTCATATCTCTGGCAGCACTCTTCTGTGTTTACTTATATATTTTTTAAGTACCTCTTTGAAGAGTATTTTCAGAGAGGGTTTTATTTGGATAAAATATTCTTATAATGTCCTTGTATATAAAAGACTATTTGGCTGGATATAAATTTTAGATTTCAAATACCTTTTTTTAATAGGTAAAAAATAATATTCCACTGTTTTCTTGCACCCAGTGTTACTATTGAGAAGTTTGTGGCCAATCAGATTCTTGTTCTTCTGAAGGAGATTTGATCCCCTTCTCTGGAATCTTTTAAAATATTACTTCTATCTTTGATATTCTTAAATTATGGTAATTTGTCTCAATAGTTGATCTTATCTCTAGTTTTTATTACTCTATGAGCCCTTTCAATCTTAAGTCTTTCTTCTTTCTTTAACTCTAAGAAACTTATCTACATTAATTTTTCAAATAGTGTTTACTCTCATTTGTTTTTGTTCTGGAGCTTCTTATATTTTTTATATATGGTGGCTTGTCTCCAATCCATATCCCTTAGATTTATATTGTCTCTTTTGCCTTCTGGGAGAGGTTTTATGTTTGGTCTTCCGGCTTTCTTATCCCTTCTTCAGCTCAATTAATTCTGCTCTTTGTATCTCTTATTAATTTCAACTGCTGTGTATTTCAACTGTTACATGTTTATACTTTATTTTTCTATTTGGTTGGCTTGTGTTGTTTTTGTCCCTTGCTTTGCATTGCAATATCTTTCCTTATCTTCTTAAGCATATTTCTTTTTTTTTCGCCCCAAGCATATTTCTTAATTTTAAGTGTTTTGGACTTTTGCCAAAATTCAACACCCAATCCCAAACTAGAAATAGGAGCAAGATTTGTCAATTTGAAAAAGAGCATCTGTAAAAAATATACAGCTAACGTTATATCTAATGGTGAAATATTGGAGACTCTTTCCCTATAATTATAAACAAGGCAAGGATGCCTACTCTCATCACTTATTTTTTAACACCAGCTTAGCTTTATGTTTTGTGGGGTTTTTTTGAGGAAGATTAGCCCTGAGCTAACATCTGCCACCAATCCTCCTCTTTTTGCTGATTAGTTTTTTTTGAGGAAGATAGCCCTGAGCTAACATCTGTGCCCATCTTCCTCTACTTTATATGTGGGAAGCCTGTTGAGCTCCCCCTGTTTGTTGGCTCTTCAACAGGAAATTCCTTCTGTCAGGATTTCATCTTTAAGCACTTAGGGAAAGGCAGCTTTGGGAGGAAGTCATCTCATCATCTAGAATTTACCAGCTCTCAATTTTTTGATGAGAAGGGTTGCAGGATTGAATGACTAAGACAGGCTGGTCAGCCCTAATCTGTTTCCAGTGATTCTTTACCCTAAAATCCCCTGCCTTATTATCACCCCATGACACCTGCACCTACAACTTGGGCTTTTAACTTTGATTTTTGCTACAAAGGAACAAGTGGAGATTGGTTCCCTCCCTCATAACGCAAAGGGGAGGTAGGAGTAGAACTTTTAAAACTTTCTTCAAACTATCCTTTTACTCGCTCCTCTGACCACCCTTGGCCTAGAATGCAGGCATTCACTGTACACATGCAACCATAGACAATCATCAGTTCCTCTAGGAGTTGTTGCAGATTCTTTAAGCTCCTAGAATACATGTTTTCCTTTGACTTTTACGGTTTATATAGATTTGATTGAAGAAGCCAGTATCCTGTGCTTGTCGTCTACCTAGGCAGGAACCAGAAGCTTCTGGGTTGGATTTTTTTTTACTTGATTTATTGCCTTTCTCAACTAGAAATGCAAGCTAAAATTTGAAATTGGCAAGATAAATAAGATCCATGTGGGCTAATCTGTTGCAGCCTTTAAATTATTAATGCTAGGTATTGGTATGTGGCATTAAATTATCTGACTCATATTCTGCCCCAAAAAGAGAACTGCAGAGAAAAGAACCTCTTGGGCTCATGGGATCTATCCACAGGATTCTGGAGTCTTCCTCTCATCATATGGCCTCAAGGTGGCTATGAACATAACTTTCAGCTAAAGTTGCTTGTCTCAGAATTTGGAATTGTGGGTCCAACCACAGAATCATGAGGGATTTAATCACTTGAACAAATGACAAAAAATGGTTGGATGCCTTTATTTCAAAGGAATGAATCCGCTTTTGGGGAACAGCGAAAGAGGAAAACCCAATAGAACGATTACAAACTCAAAGTTCAGAATAAAATTAAAAAAATAAACAACCCATGCGTTTAAGGGTCAGGTTTACTGAACAACTATGTTAGTTCAAAAAAGCTTGTTTTGGGTCAAGTTGGCAAACTAACATGACTCCCTTGCCAAAATTAATGCCACAGAAACTATAGAAATAAGAACAAATCATGGATCTTAGGAAGAACAACAAGAAGGACAAACTCTGAGAAGCTCTTTGAAGACTGAAGGCTGTCATGAGCTTGTGGGGGTAAGAAATATCTGTGTTTGTGATTGTTGTAGTGTGTCTCTATTTAGCAGTTCTTTTTGCCTCTCTTTTTTTTAGTTCTATAAAAAGTCATCATTCTATTCAACTTGAATAATGTTATGACTTTCTTTCATCAGTCAGAATATCATTACCAAGCAGCTGCACGACTCCTGTATACTCATCACAGTTTCTCTCTTTTTGTGATGCTAGTGGCCATTGGATGCTCAGTGCCTAGATCCATTAATTCATCGGGGATTCCAAAACGGTGATATAATTGTGTCATTTCTTTGTCATTTATCAGCTGGGATACTTTTATTAAGAGATGCTTCCTCTCAATACTATTTGGTTACCTGATGGCATTTCATCTAGGAAAGGCAGGATATGTTCTTGATTCTTTCAATTTATTTTCTGATTATCAAGTTAATTGAATTTGTTCTCTATAACTCTTGCAAAGTGGACAACTAGTGCTTATAGTATTATTATGAACTCAGGCATTTAAAGATCTTTGATGAGTGCCAATCCACTGGAATTATTATTCATATTGAAGCTCCAATAGTATCATCATTGGCCTTAAGAAGACTCTTAAAGTTGACTTCTGAGTATTTTTGACATGACTCCAGAAGTATTCGATAGCTTCCTTGCTATTTGGTATTGTTCCAGGTTCATCTTCTACATTTTTTGCCTCAGATGTGAAATCATCCATTTTTATAAGAAGCCCAGCTTTCTCTTAGTGGGAAATAGCATTTCAAGACCACACTCATGGTGTTAAAATGCTCAGTGTTCAGTTAAATATCTTATAGATTCATACTGATACCTTTAACTCAAATTCAGGACTGACATTGCAGTAGTTAAAATTGTGATGCAAATCTGTTTTTATCAGCATTAACATTAATTCTTTCCTCACATCTTACTTCCTAGTGCTAAAATCATCCCCAACGATGGTCTCAGATAGCTCTCCAAAACTATTGATTATCACTTGCTGTTTTAGGGTGGATGCTCATGTGTGGGAACAGTTTTCTATGACTGTGCAAAGCGGCTATCAGTAGGTGTAGTATCAAATAGCTTTTTTCTGGAGCACTTAAAAATATTTTCATTTTACAGTAGTTTTTTCCTTATAAAATTGCTTTAAGCTGTCAAAATTGAGGTGTTCCTATCATTCTGCATATTGCTTTGGTTCTTGATGCCATTCGGCCATTCAACTTGGAGCCAGGAAAAACCAAATTGAAGGCATGATCTCTAGGTGCCACCAGTGAATTCTCATTTATTCCCTAGGGAAGGGTCTCAGTTCCCACCTCCACCTCTGTACTAAAATTCACAGAGCCCATGTCAAGTTAAAGAGAGTTGATAAAGTTCCAATTTGCAGTAAGATGTGGTGAAGACTGTGTTGGTGTTCTGTGTTGTGTGAGTTTTTTGGTCATACTTCTGTAAAAAGCTGCTAAAGTGGGATTCTTCTTGCCTCAGTTTTTACTAGTGAGACAATATAATTGATATGAGATACCACAGTGGGTGTGAAACTGAACATTTCATGAGTGTTTCCTAAAATACTAAGATTTTCACGTGAATTGTTTTATTTCACATAATAGAGACTTGCCCAATATCTCCAGCAGATTCATGTCTATCTTTAGGCCCTAGCTTGAACTTCTGTCTCCATAATTTTATGGTGACTGGTATCTTGTGCACGTGTTCACCAGCTATTCTCTTCTATAGCATAAGAGGGCAGGAATGATGTGAACTATGGGATTAGCATATAAAAGTTCTGAAAACATTCACTGGGGAAGTTGAGCTATCACACGTAGAAAATAAGTTTTCAGAAATACTCCAGTGAAAGGCACATTAGGTTAGGACTTAACTCTATTGTTAGTACTGGGGGCCAAGGGCTTTAAATAAATCAAGATTATTAGAAATTTCTTCTTTTAAGGCAATATGGTTTCTCTGAGGCATGCATTCTCTTGTTATAAGTGCCATTCAGAGTTGTGCAAAGGGCTTCCTGTTTATGTCATTTGTTTTCTGAGATGAAGAAGATGGCTAAAAGGAGAATAAGCCCTCAATTCCCCATATGGTCAATAGAATATAATAAACCTTCAGCACATTTCATTTACAAGAGGCTAGATTACTTGTGAGTGGGAGGAAGTTAGCCAACTTTTTTCCTACAAATCTGTAATATAAATGAGGTGTTTGTCATTTCTCCACAACTTCAACTTAATGACTAAGATTGCTTGACTCTTCTTTATGAGTTTCCTGATCAACTGAGAAGGGAGTAGATTGGTTCTTGAATGGCTGTAACCATCACTGGAGCTCAGTGCTGAACTCACCAGGATATCTGAGTGCTCCCTGCTTGGGAAACTGATGGCCTAACCTAGATCATATGAACAAAGCTCTGGTGGTTTGTTAAAAACAGCTCCATGGGATGCATTTACCACCTGGATATGCCAAGGAAAAAAGTGTTCACAACTCAAATTAGTTTCAGAATCCTGTCTTATTCAACTTTCAAAAGATTTCTTTATGAAATCTCAGGAGTCTTCCTTACATGATAACATGCATTGTGAATCTCCAAAGTGGGATATGCAGGGTTTTTCCAACTAATTATTTTGTGGCACACTTACAAATAACTCCCACAATAGTGTTATGGGATATATCTGTTTGGGAAACACTACTGTAGACTGGAGAAGTTAGAGGCTTAAGCATGTATGACAATGTAGAGTTTAACATGTAATTCATAAAACAAACAAACATTGTCAATACAAATTATATCCAACTGAATGCCTCACTTATTACTCATTCAGAAGCACATATTGCAAAACCTATTGTATGCCAAGTTTTCTCCTAGGTAGGGATAAAGTAGTGAAAAAACAGAGTTCCTGTTCACATATACATTTTATTCTAATGGGAAGAAGCAGTAAATAAACAAATAAAGAATAAATTGTACATCATATGATAAGTGCTTTGGAGAAACATAAGAACAGGATAAAGAAATAGAGAGTGATGATGGGATATTAATTTACGTAAGGTGTTTAGAGAAGCCTTCCTGTTATGGTGACATTTGAGCAACAACCTCATGGAAGAGAAAAATTGAGCCAGGCAGGTATCTGAGGATAAGAGTCCAGGCTAAGCAATTGTGAGGCCAAAACTCTGAAGTTTGAGAATGTTTAAAACGAGAGGCCAGTGTGGACGGAGGTGCATTTGCAGGGAGAAGGTCAGTGAGGTAGAGGGGCCACATCATATGATGCTTTGTAGGCCACGATAAGGATTTTGAAATGCTAATCTGGGCAAGATAGGAAGCCAATGGCAGCTTTGGAGTTGAGGAAGGACATGATTTCAATTTATCCTTAAAAACTTTTGTCTTCTGGATATGGGGAAGCCTACAAAATGAGAATATCTTAGGTGGGAAACCAAGAGTTTCTTTTTGCACGTTCTGAATTTTGGATCACTATGAAGCTTTCGAGTAGAGATATGAGGACTTACTTCTTCGAAAATTTAAGTAATGCTCTGGCTTGGAAAAATAAGGATTTATATTTGTATTTCTAGAATGAATAAAAAAATAGATAAATATTATTTCTCTTTTTAAAATATTAAAACATTTTCAATCATAAGCACGCATGACACTCTACTCAGGAGGAGAGGAAATTTAGACACACAAATTTTAGAATAAAAATTATGAGAGCTTTTGACATTGATTCTCCTAAACCTTGACCCCGCTCCTGGTCAGAGACTTTTGAAATGCAATAAGTCCAAGTGGAATAATGTTCATGTTGACCAGATGACCCCTGATGGCAGTGACCATTTGGTGTTAATCTCTGTCCCCCCAATGCCTGTCTTATAACTGGGACTGAAAAATTTTGCTAAGCAAATGAATTACTCAAATGTTTTTCCAAGCTTTTGCTTTTGAATCTTACGGAGAAACTCTTAATGTTCTCTGAAATAATCCCTGTTCTATCGGCTTTCCATGAATCAGGCAAATTTTGTTTTTTAAATCTGATTTTGTTTTTTTGCTTTCTGAAATTGAGGTATTTCTGTAATTTGGTTGGTACCTCTGAGGCTTAAAATGGGGGCATATTTAGGGTGCAAATAGTTGATTTTGTTTTTCATTATCAATTATAAAACATTTATAAGGAGAAAGGTATAGCTTGATTAAACTGAGAATCCTTAATTATCTAAACATTTTCATTGCACTTGGCATAAAATGATCCAAGCAGAAGATTCTGAGGTATTTATAACATAATACCAAGGTAAGTATATATAGAAAACAATGTGTTTATTGAGATTTTTGTTTGTTTGTTTTCCAATAATTTGGTGTTTATGGTTGTAATTTAGAGTTGTTTTTTTAAAAAATTGAAGTGAATTATAAAGTTAAAATTGGACCACGCTTCAATAAAATCCAATAAAATAAATTGTCATAAATTAAGGACATGTATGATCCAGTGTTTAATTACTCCCTGAAAGACTTTATGCTGTCCTTTGTCCAATTGGCTAATAATAAGAATGTGCAAGAGGTTAAGGTAAGCCTTCTTGGTTATCTAATGTTTTTCTCTTATAGGAAAGAATAAATTCTGAATATATAAATATGACATATATATTTAATGAATAATGAAAATAATTTTCTGCTTTATAATTTTTATATAAAACCATCACTATCTCCATAGCATTTGTGAACTGGAGATCAAGTCAATTCAATTTTGGGTAGGAAATGGTAGCAGAGCCCCAGCCTCCAGTGTGTTAAGGATGTTTCCTCAAACCACTGCTTACCATAACAATTATACGTCTGGACACAAATACAACTTTTAATATTCTTTCATGTTCGGTTGCTTCTTGTTACTTTTGGTCCACCTGTCTAAACTTTTGAGATTTTGATTCCTGACCCTGGTCATAGGAAGGTTAGCCTTTCCGCTCCACTTTATGTCATCTCAAAAATCTGACCAAGGTACCCTGTATCTAAGTAATGAGCTGATTGTAACTTTCACCCATTTCTAAGAAGATTTTGCATAAGGAAAAATGCTGGGATGAGA